TTTTTTTTTTTTTTTACATTGCACAAATTGTTCAAGAGTTACTATAGTTTCAAGAAATGTTGAAAAAACCTGTCGGGTTAGGGCATGTGCAGGTGTCCTGCAGATCCTTGATCCATCACAGCTGATTTATGGCTAAATTACCTCCTCAACATGTCTCCAGAGGCCTGTTAATGAACTAATCATTTGATTCAGGTGTGTTGACCCAGGGTACGTCTAAAACCTGCAGGACACCGGCCCTCGAGGCCTGGGTTAGGGGATAAAGGGTGAGCTGGGATGGCCCTCATAACTGTGTCTGTAAAAGAATTATAAAAATTGCAGTCCAACCTGCAATCGCTCTCAGGCAGACTAAGGTTATGATCGCTGTGTAATTTAGAAACGTAGACAGACTTCACACATGTTGCAATCAGTCTGTGCTGGTGTGCACAACTCGTGTGCAATGTGTCACTTTGCAGGAGGAGGCTTGAGTACGGTGGCCCTGAGAGGCCAAACGGACTGCAACTTCAGAAAACACTTGCAAAAAGAAAAACTCTGCTCCCCAAAAACATTTCCGTTGTGTTGTGTGTGCTTTTGCAGCATTTTTCTTTTTGCAGCGTTTTTCTTTTTGCAGCGTTTTTCTTTTTGCAGCGTTTTTCTTTTTTGCAACGTTTTTCTTTTTGCAGCATTTTTCTTTTTGCAGCATTTTTCTTTTTGCAACGTTTTTCTTTTTGCAGCATTTTTCTTTTTGCAAGTGTTTTCTGAAGTTGCAGTCCGTTTGGCCTCTCAGGGCCACTGTACTTGAGTCAGCTGGTTGCCAACAGGTTGTATTCTGGTTATACTCCTCTACAGGGTTGCTGAGCATCTATTCGTTTTTGTAGTTAGATTGCTGTCATGCAACAACTACATCACAATTTGTGGAGGAATTTCTGGATTTCTATTTCAAATCTATGACGAAACAGACTCTCAATGCAAATAGTAAATGTGAATTTTTGCATATGCAGACAGCAACAGATTTAGATTTTTATCAATGAATCACAGACTGACTCCAACTTGTTGCTGTCTTGAGTCACCTGGTCCTGGTCTTTGAAGCAACCATTTCAAAGGTATTAACATTTCAAATTTCACTGTCCAGTATTACGGTACTGTTATCTTTCAGAACAAGCGTGGATGTTCTCCAGGCTTTACACAAGGTTGGATTAGGGTTAGAGGCTGAAAGGCTCATTACAATCAATCTTTTTTAATATTTTTGAAACATCTGCTCATTTTATAACGCCTCATGCGAGTCATAAACAGCTACATTGTGCTCTGCGGAGACTCTCCTGTCACCAAGAAATAAAAATGCAAACACCACAAAAGGAGGCTGTGAAGTTTGTACAGAACATTTATTTATTCAGAGCAGATGGCCATAAGATGCAGTCACTGCAAGCACACCACTGTCCAGTCACTACAACACACACGCACTCCCACACACACAGATTTCACACAGTCAATAGCAGAGCAACACATGACACACTCTCTCAAGCATTCGCATACAGTCGCTGCAGAGCAGAGGAGACGCCACTCGGGTGTCTGTTCAGATAAGCACAGGCGGAAAATCAAATAAAAACAGTTTGGCTTCATCTTTTGTTAAGAAGAACAAGGGATGAAAAGTACTTTTTCTCCACAGCTTATTTGACCATCTGTGTGTGGGTTTTTTCACCTTAGTAGCCTCACCCCAACGCCCAAGCACCAAAACACACTTCAGAATAATTCCTACGATATGAAGGATGACCAAAATGAGACCTAAGGAAGGATTTAAAAAGGCAAACCTTTATCTCTGATATGATGGCGGATGAAAAAGCTGTAAGCTGCACACAGGTCAGCCAACCCTCAAAGGTCAGACCACCAAGCATCTGTGGATGTCACCACAATGACATCTGGTTTGTAATAACAGAGGACAGTTTGGTACAAGGTAAAGATAACTCAAGGGAAAAAAATGAAGAAATTAAATTTCATATAAATATGCACCTACACATCTGGTGACAGCTGGCTCAATCACTTTCAGTGACAATTTACTTAACTAAGCTAAGGGAGTTCAGAAATATTTATGTGCTTAAGCCACATCTTTAGAAGATGTAAAAGAAATTGAGCCATTACTGTTTATGACAGGACTATTTGTTGTTGTCCATGTTTTGAGGGATAATGTGGGCTGGGATAGCTTTTTCACTCAAAGCTAGATCAGAAGATTGATACCACTCTCATGGCGTAGCTTAGCAGAACTACCTTCAGCTAACGGTTAGCATAATTAAGCAAACATTTTTTACACAGCGTACATTTGATGCAAAATATCACAAACTCTTAACAGGAATGAAATCTAACAGTGTTGCACACCTTTAAAATTTCAATTATGTAATTAGAAAAAACGTAGACAACAAAAAAGTTAATGATCATCGACCTGGAGATAGTTACAGCATGACAGAATGGCTGGTTGTTAGCCGCGGTTAGCAAATTTCTTACACTAAAGTTTTAGCTGGAATGAAAACCAAAGAGTCTCGGGCAAAGTTGAACTTGAACTTATATCTCATTGTTCAGTCTTTATAAGCAGTTTATATGATTATCTTCTTTTAATGAGTTCAAATTGAGCGGACAACATGTGAGACTGTGGTTTTCTGTTTAGCTTAGCTTAGCTTAGCACTATGAATGTAAACTGTAAAAAAAGAACTACTCCTGCTATGTCAGAAGATAATTGTAGATATCACACATCGATTTTTGTACAAATTAAACAAATCAAATATTCCCTAGGAAGCTAGCTAGCTTTTCCAGAGAGTTTTCAGTCCTTTGATTTTAAGCAAACCTTAACTAACCAGCTGTTATCTGTGGCTTCACTCTGAAAGTGGCATTGATCCTCTCAGCTAACTGAGTAGAACCACGTTTATTTTCTAAAACTTTCTTAAACATTGTGATAATGTAAAACTTAACATGCTAACACAACAGATCCACAACATATTTCTTCACAAAAGCAGGAGAAGAAGCTAAAATGTAGGTATTTTTTTAAAACTGATTTTCTGTCATCCAAGCCAACTGCACACGGACTTCTGTACCTGGTGTGGTGCCAGGGGCTATTACAAACGGGGTTGGGGGGGACCCATATCCTTGAAGTGATTGGTCTGTCTTTAGATTGATGCAGTGGTAGCGGAGCGTCCATGAGGGTGCTTCCTAGAGTGAAATGGCTCTCCTGGTTTTCAGAGAACCGGGGTTATGCTAGTAACTGTTTCATTCAGTCGGCTGAGTTTATGGATTAAAAATCACAACTCTGTGGTGCTGGGGAGGGCAGCACAATTTTCATACCAAGATATCAAGTAAGATGGCAAACTGGAAAAAGAGAGTGATGCCCTTATATTATACATATCCATCTACTGTATTGAAGTCAGACCAAAATCACAAAGCAAGGCACATGTTTCAAAGAAAAACAAAGACATTTAAAACTATACAAAAGATAACAAAACTGAACAAGAATTGCTTATACTATACACATCGCCACACCAGGACACATGTACACATGTAGGCGCAGAAAAAAACAATACAAAATAATAGTAATAATATTATTAATAATAATAAAAGAACACTTCCTGGAAACATCCCAACATGTTATCCTACAATGGTTCATCAGCTCAGACCACTTAAGCATGAAGAAGCAAACTGATTCAACACTCAGATTAGATCTGTTTACTTTAAAAATAGTCTTCAGAATGAAACACACTCATAAATACACTTCTTCTTATATATTTTTTTCAAATATCCATATATATATAATCTCTATGTGATCGTAATTTAAATACCACGACTATTCTCTGAGTTCTTATTCATTTATATAAACAGCGTGGCTGCTAACGTGCTGTGAAACCTTGATTTTCTTAATGGGCAGAGGTGCAGTTAGAATCTCAGTATTGCGCCAACTTCTGGTTTGAGGAGCTGCACTCGAAACAAACCACCAGGCTTCACGCATCTCTGCCGCCACTTGCTCCAATCGAATACTTTTTATATTTTCATCCCATGTACACGGTGTGATCGCACCGTGTGGTAACCATGGTAATGCCGATTACAATGGTGGTGATGTAGATTGTCATGGCAACATAGGGTGGGTGTTTGGGAGTGTGTGGGACAAGAGCAATA